AAAAAAAAAAAAAAAAAAAAGAAAGAAATGAAAAAGAAAATTAGGAAAAAAAATGATTATGCACATATTAAACAGTTATGTTTCTTATTTTATAAAGATGTACTCTGCAATTAAAAATATGAATACTGTATTTTATTTTTAATTTGTATTTTGTGTGTGTGTGAATAACACTTTTTTTTTTTAAACAGAGTCTCAAGTATGTCACCCTCAGTAGAGTATGGTGGCATCATAGCTCATAGCTACCTTCAGCTCTTGGGCTTGAGTGATTCTCTTGCCTCAACCTCCTAAGTAGCAGGGACTACAGGCACCCACCACAACACCCAGCTATTTTTTGTTGCAGTTGTCATTGATGTTTAGCTGGCCTGCACTGGTTTTGAACCCGTCAGCCTCAATGTACATGGCTGGCGCCGTAACCGTTGTGCTATGGTCACCGAGCCTGAATAACACATTTTAAAAGCAGCAAAGCAAATGATCAGTTAATATACAAACAAATAAAGTATAAAATGCTCACCTTCACACCACCCTTCTTACCTTTCAGACTGTGAACTATTAAAAGTTGATGCTGCCTAGTGAGAAGAGAAGGGTGCTCTTAGGTCCTGATTGGTAGTGGGAGCAAATTCCTCCTGGCGGCAACTCAGACAGATGTCATCATGATGTAAGATACACTTCCCTCTCAGAGCCCCTCAGACCGTGTCCATCATGACAAAAGACATACCTCACTGCAGTACAGCAAGGACCTACACTAGCCTGTGCCTGGCTAAGTAAATTTTGACACATATCAGGGGACACTTATGTAGTGCTCCAATAAAGGGGGCTAGTGCTAATACAGAACCTTCTTCAAAATATGTTATGTGGAAAAATAACTCATTGGCTATTCCAGCAAGGTTGCTTAGCCTACTCTGTGGCTGGAGGGAATAGGGCCTCCGGTCCCCTCTGCAGGTTCAGGAGCTTCCCATGCTCAACAAGGTGGATGGGAAGATCACTTAACCTGTGGAGGGAGTGGCTAGCAACTTAGCTCACCACACCAAGGTGGCCAGCACAGGGAGGACAGTGAGAGCCCTGAGCCTGGCTACAAGGAGAGGGATAGGCAGGTGCTGGGGAAGGCCTAATAGCTGTTCTGTCTTCCTTCCATATGGGGATCCATAAAACCATTCTCCCTCCCAGGGCGTGGAGGGACCCTGAGGGATTTCTTCCCTTTATTCTCACAGAGGGACCCTGAGGGATTCACTCCCCCTTATTGTCACAGAGGGACCCCGAGGGAATCATTCCCTGTTGTTTCCACATAGGGACCCTGAGGGATTTCCCCACCTTGTTCTCACAGAGGGACCCTGAGTGATCACCACCCCTCAACCCCCACGGCCCTTGTTCTCAGAGGGACCCTGAGTGATCAGCACCCCCACCCCGTCCTTGTTCTCACAGAGGGACCCCGAGGGATTTCCCCTGGGTTTCTGACACACCCATCATTAGTCTTTGGTCCTGCTCTTTCTGCCTCAGGCCTGACTCTATTCTGATTCCCCTGGAATTTGGCAATTTGAGATTTATCTTTCCAGCGGGCTATCTGATGCTTGACTGCAGTGCAGAAGCTATTGACAATGTGATGCTGTTTCCTGCTGAAGAAACCAGTAGGGACTAAATGGTGGATAGCTACAGTAAAAAGATGCCTGTGTGTTTAAAGGTGACAGAGACAGCAGTGCCTTTCTTGTGAAGATCTGTAGGCTGAGGTCCTAGTACATCTTGAGATGGGTATGGCATACTGTAGAAAGAGCTTATTAAAGAATCACTGCCTGTGTTTAAATGCCGAACTTAAACTTTAGACTTTCTAGACTATGATTGTAACATTCTGCTACAAGTCACTGGGGTTCTTAGTGGTGCTTCTAATGTTGAGATTGCTGTGACTGTAACAGTGCAGCTACCTGGGAAGGACATGGAAGGAGTTGATTCCTGTGGAGATTTTATCATCAGGCATCGACTGACACTTGAGGCTGTCACTTAGGGGGTTTCACATCTGAAAAAATATGTTTTCTTTAAATACTGATTGGAAAACAGTCTACCTTCAGCATTTGAGTCAAGTGACTTAATTTCCAAAATTAATATGACCATGGGTTTTATTTTAGTATTTGAAAGGAAGAATATATATGATTTGGGTAATTTATTTTGTAACATGTTAAAGAAAAAAGTAAAAATCATTTTATTGAGTTTTAGCAAAATATATTTTGGAAGTGAATTAACATGTCCCCCTTTTCCTCTCCTAGCATTGCCATGGAAGTGCTGCGCATACTGGTTCTGGTCGGCCAAGTTCTTTTGTCGCTAGCTGCTGTTTTCCTTTTATGTCTTGTTATAAAGACTTACCTCATAGGACCATATTACCGAAAGCTGCATATGGAAAGCAAAGGGAACAAGGAAATTCTTATTTTGGGAATATCTGCCTTCATCTTTTTAATGTTAACGGTAATCTCAAATTATGTGTTATTTATATAATCTCATTTATCATCTTTTTCACTGAAAGCTTGTGATCAAGTTCTTATATTTTCATTTTAATAGTGGTTAAAATATATGAGACATTTACTAGAGTTTTTTATTTTATATGTGATTTATTCTACCCACTGATATATAATACGGTGGTGAGCTCAACCTGTTTTGACTCCTACTCCTCAGTACTTTGCTAAAATGTCATTTATGGTCATGAGAAGCCTTATTAACACCAGTGTCATACCATGTTTCTGTGTCTTAAACTTTAAAGTAGCTTTGTAACTGAAATATGAGGTTAAGTTTTTAAAATAATTTTTAGTTTTATTGATGATAACAAGCTAGTTAACAGTATAACTTTTATTGTTATAATGTGAATAGTTTGAAGAAGGTTTGTTGTAGAAAGTAGTCCAGGCCTCCCCTCATAAAAAGGATGAGTTTTCTGTGAGATCCAGAGATGCTTTGAGACACCCGAGGAAGATCCAGGAATAGCATCACCGGACACTCTGCCTGTACAGCTCAGCAACTGCACTGCTTGATATTTACCCCACACTTATGCTCATGAACACTTATGCTCACACCTTTATTAATATTAGCCAGAAACATTCCAAACACCTTTCAAAGGGTGAATGCTAGACAAACAGTGTGATACCCACATCACGGAACCCTTGCTTGAAGTAACACTTCTGGAGTACACAGCATGGGGGGATGTCAGAGAAGGGTGTTGAATGGAGAAGGCCATCCCCATGGCTGTGTACTACACGATTCCACTTATGAAATGACAGAATTTCAGGAATTGAGGGAACATTGGTAGGCAGGAATTAGAGAGGGGCTGAAATGGGGAGGTCCTTGTGGGGATGGGCATGCTGTGTCTTCACAGTGTCCATGTCAGCATCCTGGCTCTGATGCTGTGCTGACGGGCAAGATGTTATAAAACATTGAGGAAGTAAAGTAAAAGGCATGGGAGAATTCTGTATTATTTCTTAAAATTGCACATGAATATATAATTATCTCAAAATCAGAAGTTTCAATTTTAAAAAAGTAAATTAACAAAATGCATTTTTAATTGCATTTTTAAATGCATATGGTTTATTAATTGGCTGCTGGTATTTTATAATCTTGGGAGAAGACCTTGATTTGCTTCTGCCCAGAGCTGCTGATAATGAGTTTAACTGTTTTAAGAATGTGACTTATTTAAATTTTTACCCTTCTTTACCACTGCAGAGTATTTTTCTCTTTGAAAATAACTGTCAACAAATCTGTCTTACCTGGACCTTCTGTGTTGCTTCCAGTTGGCTCCATGCAGTTCAGACAGTCCTCTCCTTACTAGCTCTCACTTCCCTCGTTTGTCAGTGTTTACTGGACACCCAACCACCAGATATTCTCGTAACTCACACGTCAGATTCCCTTTTTCACTCACTGCTTTGTGGTATTCTGCTGGGCATGTGTCATCATTTATTTTTACTGTGAGATATTAGGGCTTGTGTCCATTTAGGACCATGGTACATTCTCATAGTTGTTTTGAAACCCTCTATCATTTCTGATGAGTACATAGTATGCCTGGTTGTGGCACAGCTGGGTCAGAGTGTGCTGCACACTTTGATGACTACTGGTTGTTTCTCCAGAGTAGTTGTTGCTAATTCATACCACTGACTACTCAGGAGAGTTGAGTCACCTGTACCTGCACCAGCACTTGCTCTTGGGTGTGGTGGTGCCTTGGGTATTTAGCTTTCATCTCCCTGACTTCGTGAGATGTCTGGGTATTCCTGTTGGGTGTGCCTGATAAAGTCTTCAGACTATTTTCCCACAGGGTGGAGATTTTCTTACTCATTTATTAGAATTCTTTAATTTTCTGGCAATTTTTATTAACTAAGGTGAAATTCACATAACATATAATTCATTCTAACCATTTTGAAGTGTGCAATTTAGTGATTTTCAGCATATTCATGGTGCCTTGCCACCATTACCACTGTCAGCTTCTGGAACATTCCAGGAGAAACCCCATATCTCCCCGTACTCCCCTGCCATCTGCATCACCTCTAATCCACGGCCCTGTGGATTTGCTCCTTGTGGGCATTCTTTGTCTGGCACTTTCACTCAGTAGGACATCAGTGGCATCTGCCCTCGTTGCCGTGGTGTCGCACCTCATTCCTTCTTGTGGCTGGGTGATGTTCCATATGAGATGCATCCTTGCCAGTGTCCTCTAGTGTGTGGCTTCTTCACTCTCTCAGTGGCATTTTATGACAAACAGAAGTTCTTAACTTTAATGTAATACAGTTCTTATTCTCTTTTTGGTTAGCACTTTTTGTGTTCTGCGGAAAAGATCTTAGTCCCCCCCACTCCAGCCATGAAGAAGTTCTGTGTCATTGTCTCAAAGTTTTGTTCCATTCTCTTCTCTAGAGCTGTAATCCACCTGGAGGTGGGTGTGGTGTTCGCATGATGTAGTGGACAGGAATTCTTTTTTCACATACATTTCCATATGTTGAAAACCAGGTGTCCATGTGTGCCCATGCATGTTACATATGTATGTGTATGCTTTTGTGTGTGGTGTGTGCTTCATAGTGTGTACATACATGTGTGCACAGCCCATGTTCCTGTATGTTTTGTGAGTGGTGTGTGTGTGGCATCTTCATGTGTGGGTGGTGTATGTGCATTCATGTTTCTGACTCTCCATTCTGCCCCCTCCATCTACTCACCTGCCCTTAAGCTGCACCATAGCTCAGTATCTGGTTACATTCTGGCCCCAACTTTGTTCTGTGTCAGGATTGTTGTGGCTATATTTATACTCTTTCAAAATTCTGCATGAGGTTTTAGACTCAGCTTGTCAGTTTTTACACACAGCGAGTTTTACTGATAACCCAGTGAATCTGTCTCCTGTTGAGGGAGATGGACCCTGTGTGATGTGAAGCCTTCTTCTTGGTGTAATCCAGACTTCTGGGTTTCTCGGCAGAGGCTTGCTGCAGTTCTATAGGGTTGATTTCCCAGGATTCAGTGTTTTGTTTAATTTTTTTGATTCTGTGTTTTTTTTATGTTATTGTAAATGATCTTTTCTTTTAAAGTTCATTTTCTGTTAGTCTGTTATTGCTCTGTTCTGTAGTATTATTTTCTTAAAATAAAAACTATCTTTTGAGTTTTGTGTTAGGCTCATTAAAAAGTGTGCCTGGATGGGGCACAGTGGCTCAGGCCTGTAATCCAAGAACTCTGGGAGACTGAGACAGGGGAGTCACTTGAGCTCATGAGTTCAAGACCAGTCTGAGCAGGAATGAGACCCCCTGTCTCTACTAAAATAGAAAAACTAGCCAGGAGTTGTGGTGGGTGCTTGTAGTCCTAGCTGCTTGGGAGACAAAAGCAGAACAATCACTTGAGCCCAAGAATTTGAGGTTGCTGTGAGCTGTGATGATGCCGTGGCACTCTACTGAGGACGACAGAGTGAGACTCTCAAAAAAAGGAAAAAACACAGAACTGTAGTTCAAAACCTGATGAGTCTGTCCATTCCGCTCTCTGATCTGGCTCACTTATATGAGTTTTTAAGTTAGTCATTTCTGGATTTGTTGGTGCTTTTCTCTGGTTTCTATTGGTTCAGGGACCTCGCTCACTTGCTTCGTCTACTTTCTCTCAGTGGTTTAAGGTTGGTGATGGGAATGTGTTTTTATACTACCTTAGGCTGCTCATTGATTCAAGGTAAAGACTGTGTATTACAAATAAGTTTTGGAAAATACTCTCATTCAAAAGTTTCATAGCAATCTACATGCATTTTTGTTTCAAATATTTGAAAGTAATATTTTTCTACTGGTTATTTTGACAGCTTGGGTCTTCCTCCAGTCCTCTCAGGCCATCCCACTAAGGCCCTTCCTAGGGGCTTTCCTGGGAAACATGGGCTGCACCTATGATGCTTGACTATCTCAGAGGGTGTCTGCACTGTGTCCTCATGTGACGTCTAGGCTCTCCTCTTCCTCAGGTTACAGAGCTGCTGGACGTCTCCATGGAGCTGGGCTGTTTCCTGGCTGGAGCACTCATCTCTTCACAAGGCCACATGGTCACCGAGGAGATCATTTCCTGCATCGAGCCCATCCGCGACTTCCTGGCCATCGTTTTCTTTGCCTCCATAGGTCATCTTTCTTCTTCATGTTAATATCATATTTGTTAAACACATGTAGATTAGGTCTACAGTATGTTTATGTGTGTGCATATTTATATTTTATACAGCAAAAACAGTTACCTTAAAAATTGAAAGTATTCCATATATCTCAATTGGGATTGCTGGTAGGCAGAAACTATTGTTCTAGGGCCTGCGGAGAAATCTTATTTTAAAAGAAGGAAAAAGAGGCCTGAGACCCCAGGGATTAGCTTTGTGCTTCCCGGGGCGATTAGTGCTGAGGTTCACACTACAGGGCACTGAGACAGGCATCCTGGAGCACTCAGAGTAATTAGGAAGTAGGAATTCTGGAACATGTCCAGGTAGCTTCCCTGGAAACCTCCTTGGCAAGTCTCTGGAGCAGCTGTCTAGAGAAGTAACTTTAAAACAACAGAATCAGCTAGGCGTGGTGGCTCACGCCTGTAATCCCAGCACTCTGGGAGACGAGGTGGGTGGATTGTGTGAGCTCAAGAATTTGAGACCAGCCTGAGGAAGAGTAAGGAAGACTCTGTCTCTACTAAAAATAGAAAAACTAGCCAGGCATTGTGGTGGGCACCTGTAGTCCCAGGTATACTTGGAAGGCTGCGGCAGGAGGATGGCTAGAGACCAATAGTTTGAGGTTGCTGTGAGTTATGACACCATAGCACTCTACCGGGGCAAGAAAGTGAGTCTCAAAATAAAATAAAGGAAAGAAAACAACAGAATCATGTGGACGTCCAGCATCATGACATGTCCACCTGCCCTCTGTCCATGGCCCTGCAGACGCAGCATAGTCCTCAAAGACTAAAAACTCGAGAAGTTGAGCCTGAAACGTGCTTGATAGTGTGAGTGGCTGTGAATAGCCAGTGCAGTTCCCTGAGGGTGGCACAGAGTTGGTCTGTGCCTGTGTCAGATGAAGTAAGCCCATTTCACCTGGGTTTTTGGGACTTGGCAGTTCTTGGTGAGTAAGATAGTGGCTGCGCCTGTTGTGACCTCCACTTACATTTGACCTTCCTTTCACTGTCTAGTCCTTGCTGTCTTCTTCCTGTGCCCCTCCTGACCCCCCACGCCCTAGTTTGTATCCTTCCTAACTCCTGCACCCTCACAGCAACAGCCCTGCTGACCCCAGCTCCCCTCCTGCTCCACCCCTGCTAACTCCCCTGTGCCCCAGCCATGCCACTGCTGACTCCCCCAGTGTGCAAAATTAGCTCTCCCAGTTCTGGTTTCCTTTTTTTAATTGAGATAAAATATATATAATTCATTGTTTTTACCATTTATAAGTGTACAGTTCAGTGGTAGTAAATACACTTACTTTTCTTTTTATTTCCCTTCATCCCCTGACTTCCAGCCTCTGGTAATCACCAGTCTACTCTTGAACTCTTCATGAGATCCAATTTTAGTTCCCTCATATAAGTGAGGACATGTGATGTTTGTCTTTCTATTCCTGGCTCTTATCACTTAAGATAATGGCTTCCGGTTCCATCCATGTTCCTGCAAATGTCAGGGTTCCTTTCTTTTTTTTTCATTTCTTAAGAAGTGTTTATTTATTTTATTAAATCATAGCAGTGTACATTAATACTATCGTGGGGTACAGTGTACTGTTTTTATATACAATTTGAAATACTTTCATCCAACCGGTTAACATAGCCTTCATGTCTTTTTCTTCTTAGTTACTGTGTTAAGACATTTGTATTCTACATTTAGAGAGATTCACATGTACCCTTATAGGATGAACCATAGGCATGATGCCACCAATCACTCTCCCTCCACCCCCCTCCCCCCTCCCGCCCCTCTCTCCCCTCTCCCCTCTCTCCCCATATTCCTGGGCTAAAATTGGGTTATAGCTTTCCTATGAAAGCTATACAGGGCTCCTTTCTTATGGCTGCATAATATTCAGTGAGTCTGTGTATCATACTTTCTTTAACCATTCATCAGTGAGTACTTAGGTTGATTTCATATCCTGACTATTGTGGATAGTGCTGTAGGGACCATGGGAATGCAGCTGTCTCCTTGACATACTGATTTCCTTTCTTTTGGACTTGTACCCAGCAATGGGATTACTGAGTCATGTGGTAGTTCTACTTCTAGTTTTTTGAGAAGCCTCCATGCTGATCTCCATAGAGGCTGTATTAATTTACATTCCCACCAACAATCTGCCAGGGTTCCCTTTTTCCACATCCTTGCCACCACTCCTTATTGCCTTTTTGACAAAAAACATCTAACTGGGGTAAGATGACACCTCACTGTGCTTTTGATTTGCATTTCTCTGATGATTAGTGATGTTGAGCATTTTTTCATATACCTTTTGGTCATTTGTATATCTTTTTTTGTTCAGATCTTTTGCCCATTTTGAATCAGATTATTTTGGTTTTTTTGCTATTGAGTTCCTTATAGTATATTCCAGGTATTAATCTTTTGTCAGGGCTTGGCGCCCATAGTCCAATGGTTAGGGCACTGGCCATATGCACTGGGACTGGTGGGTTTGAACCCCTCCCGGGCCTGCTAAACAAGGACAACTGCAACAAAAAAATAGCCAGGTATTGTGGCAGGTGCCTGTACTCCCAGCTACTTGGGAAGCTGAGGCAAGAGGATCACTTAAGCCCAAGAGTTTGAGGTTGCTGTGAGCTGTGATGCTATGGCACTCTACATAGGGCGATATAGTAAGACTCTGTCTCAAAAAAAAAAAATCTCTTGTCAAGTGGATAGTTTGCAAGATTTTTTCCTGTTCTGTGGATTGGTTGTCTCTTCACTTTGTGGATTGTTTCCTTTGCTGTGCAGAAGCTTTTAGCTTGATATAATCCTTTCTGTTTTCATTTTGGTAGCTTGTGCTTTGAGGTCTTACCCCAAAAAATCTTATCCCAGACCAGTGTCCTAGAGCATTTCCTCAATATTTTATTTTTTTTCAATATTTTATTTTAATAGCTTCATAGTTTTAAGTCTAGATTCAAGTCTTTAATCCATTTTGATTTGAAAATTTTTTTTTTTTGGAGACAGAGCCTCAAGCTGTCACCCTGGGTAGAGTGCTGTGGTATCACAGTTCACAGCAACTTCTAATTCCTGGGCTTAAGCAATTCTCTTGCCTCAGCCTCCCAAGTAGCTGGGACTGCAGGCACCTGCCACAACGCCTGGATGTTTTTTGGTTGTCGTTGTTTGGCAGACCGGGGCTGGATTCAAACCCACCAGCTCTGGTGTATGTAGCTGGTGCCTTAGCCGTTTGAGCTACAGGCACCGAGCCTAGTTTCATTCTTCTTAATATAGTTAATCTAGTTTTCTCAGCACCATTTATTGAAGAGACTATACTTTTCCCATTGTATCAATATGTTCTTGGTACCAAGGTTGTAAATGTGTAGATTTATTTCTGGGTTCTCTGTTCTTTTATGTTGGTCAGTCAATCTCTTTTATGCCAGTTCCATGCTGTTTTGGTTGTTACAGCTTTGTAGTATATTTTCAAGTCAAGTTTTATTCTGTCATGGTCCGACTTCTGACTAAATGACTTCTGGTGTTTTTATTTGTCCAGACTTGCTTTGTGGTCTAGGATATAGTTTATTCTGGAGACCATTCCATGTGTTGATAAAAATAAAAGGTATATTCTATAGAAGTTGGGTGTAATGTTCTGTACATGTCAATCAGACCTGTTAGATATAGTGTGTAGTTTCACTCCACTGTTTGTCGACTTTCTGTCTGGATGATCTGTTCATTGCTTAGAATATGGTGTCACAGTCCCTGCAATTATTTTTTATAATAGTCAATCTCTCCCTTTAGCTCTATTAATGTTTGCTTTATGTACTTGGGTGCTGTTGTGTTGGGTGTATGGATATTTATAATTACTATATCTTCTTGATAAGTTGACCTCCCCTTCTCATTATAGTGACTTCCTAGTCTTTTTTTATAGTCTTTGATTTATGGTCTATTTTATCTGATGGAAGTATAGCTATTTCTGCTTATTTTTTGTTTTCTCTTGCATGGAATATCTTTTTCTATCCTTTCACTCTCAATCTGTATGTATCTTTATAGGTAAAGTGGGTTCTTGAAGGCAGCATATGGTTTGGTCTTCTTTCTTTTTTTTTTTGCAGTTTTTGGTCCGGGGTTGGGTTTGAACCCACCACCCTCAGCATATATGAGGCTGGTGCCCTACTCCTTGAGCCACAGGCGCCGCCTTGGTCTTGTTTCTTTATCCATTCAGCCACTCTGTGTCTGTTCATTGGAGAATTGAGTCCATTTATGTTGTGTTATTGGTAAAGAAGGACTTACTACTGCCATTCTGTTGCTTATTTTCTGGTTAATTTGAGACTCTTTTCTTCCTTTCTTGTATCCTCCTTTATGGTTAAATGATTTCCTCTGGTAGTATGATTTAATTTGTTGGTTTTTATTTTTAGTGAATCTATTACAGGTGTGTTTCACTGTGGTTACCCTAAGCATGTTTTTGCTTACAAAAAGCATCTTATAGGTAAAACCAATTATTTTAAAGTGATGGTAACTTATCTTAGATCACAAGTAAAAGAACAGAAACAAAGGCCAAAAGTAAACAAACAAAAAACAAAAACCAACAAATATTCTATACTTTAAGCCCATCTCTTCCACGTTTGACTTTTGATTATCTCAACTTAACATATTTTTATGTTGCTTCTAATGGGTTGCTGTAGCTATTACTTTCAAATTTTTTTGAGACAGAATCTGACTTTGTCACCCTTGGTGTAGTACTGTGGTGTCATAGCTCACAGCAACCTCATACTCCTGAGCTTAAGTGCTTCTCTTGCCTCAGCCTCCCAAGTAGCTGGGACTACAGGGGCCTGCCACAATGCCTGGCTCTTTTCATAGGTGGAGTCTCCACTCCGGCTTAGGCTGGTTTCAAACCTATGAGCTCAGGCAATCCACCTGTCTTGGCATCCCAAGTGTTGGGAGCCACTGCGCCCGGCCCTACTATTTCTTTGATTTGTAGATTTAAGCCCATCTTTGATAGATTTGCTTTTTTGGGCCCTATTGCACATCAGTCCATGGACATCTGGATTTGTCTGTGTACTTGATTTTATAGGGTGTCTTATACCTTAAAGTTTTCTTTTTGTACATTACTTTTTTAAAAAATCAGATTAAAGAACTTTTAGCATTTCTTGTACAGCAGGTCTGGTGGTGGCAACTTCTGTCAGCTGTTTTTTGTCTGGGAAAGACTTTATCTTTCCTTCATGTTTGATGGATACTTTTGCTGGGTGCAGTATTCTTGGATAAGAGTTTGCTTTAAATGGTGTGAAAATGTTGTTCCACTTCCTCTCAGCCTGTGTGATTTCTCTTGAGAAGTCTGTTGCCAAACAAGTTGGATCTCCTTTATATGTTGTTTGCCGCTTTACTCCTACTACTTCTAGAATCTTTTTGTCCTTAACCTTTGAGAGTTTGATTATTAAATGCCCTGGGGTACTCTTTTTTGGGTCAGATCTGTTTGGTGTTCTCAGACTTTTCTGAATGTACATGGAGATATATACACACACACACACACACATATATATCTTTCTCAAGTTGGAAAATTTTTTGTCCTTATTTCTGTGAATAAACTTCTGCCCCTTATTTGTGATTTCCTCTGGTAGTATGTTTTAAACACCTCTTAAATTTTATCTATAATCTTTTTTGAGGTAATGTTCTGTCACTTGGTGGGACAGAGGGCCCTCATGGCCCCATACATATCCATACGTGGTTTCAGAATGAGCGGGTGAGCCTTGAGAGCAAAGAGAAAACTTATTTAGGGAAAATATTTCCTGTTTTTCCAAATGCATGAGCCAAACAAAAAAGTGAAAAGAATGTTGGCAATAAATGTCCTCTGCGTGTGGTACTCTGGGCACTGGCAGGCTGTGTACACAAGCTCTGGGGTTTCTCTGCATTTGGGCTTGAATACTCCATGAAGGAGAATGGCCAGTGCCTCCTAGGTAGTCCCCTGCATCCCTGTATCCCCTGTAGTCCCTGTGTTCTCTCCATTTGAAGGGGGGTATAGCTGGAATTGCACCAATCCCAGTAGCCCCCTCAGGGTGGCTTTTTCCCTGGGTTACTGAGCATTTGCTAGTGCTTTCACAGGACACTTAACGAGAATTTAGGGATTTTTTTGGAGATAAGATTTTGCTCTGTCACCTGGGATAGAGTGCAGTGGTGTCCTCATATCTCACTGCTGCCTTCCAGTTCCTGCCCCAGCCTCCTGAGTAGCAGGGACTACAGGTATCTGCCACTGCACCTGGATAAATTTTCTATTTTTAGTAGAGATGGGGTCTCACCTTGCTCAGGCTGGTGTCAAACTCCGGAGCTCAAACAATCCACCTGCTTCAGCCTCCCAGAGTGCTGGGATTACAAGTGTAAGCCATCATACCAAGCCAAGAATTTAGGATTTTAATTCTTTTATTGAAACAAGCTTCATGCACCCTGGAGTTGTAGATATATGTTTGGGGGTGGATGTGAGCTTGTGGGAGCATGTTCCTATGGCCATGAGTAACTTTTCTCATTTTCCCAGCAGGGCTCCACGTCTTCCCCACATTTGTGGTGTACGAGCTCACAGTGTTGGTGTTCCTCACTCTGTCAGTGGTGGTCATGAAGGTACCGACTTGCCCTTTTAGTCGTTACTGCCTGGTAGGGAGCACTCTTGAGTTTCACGTGCTGCATGGCATAGGCTCCTGCCCAGGGCCTGGCTTCCAGCCAGCATGTACATCCCATGTAGAGAGTCCAGCCCAGCTTCAATCTCAGGAGGGTCTTGCTGAAGGGGACCTTGCCTCTCCCCCTGGCCGCCTGCCCTCGCCTCAGAGGAAGCACTTGCTCAGCGGCTTTGCCTCTGGGGGTTTTGGTTTGTTGATGTGATCTATTGTCTCAGAATTGAGGATGCTGAAAATTGGGAATTCCTAAAAGTTGGGATGGGAGAAGCCCCTGTCTGGGTCCCCAAGATGGTTCCTTATGGTGTGATTCTGATCTTGTGACAGATGCAGATGTGCACCTCTAAGGCCTGAAAACACTGGATGTTTCCCATTCGTCTCTTTCTGATGACTGCTAGTCATCAGGCTACCTGTGTTAGCATTTACTTTAAGGCATGATGACCTCTTTGGGAGCCATCTGGCTTTCTGGATTATAAAACTTGACTTAATTTCCATTTTCAAGAACCTGATCACCATTAGTTGGGCTGCCCTGCCAGCTCCCAGCTGCTTGCCTCAGGGACAGTCATCTCCCTGCCATATTTTGTTTTAATTTTCATCTTGAGCGCTGTATAATGTTTAGTGCTATTAATTTAGTTTAGGGTAAAGGCTCATTTTCTGCTAGTGAACCAAAACACTGATTTTACCTTCTTGTTCTATGTGGGCTTATTTAAGATATTTTTCATTTATCTGGTGCCTTCGGGTGTTGGTAGTGCCCCTGTGTGTGTCTCCTTTCTCAGTATGTTGTCCAAGAATGATCATAGAATCTGATGTCTCTGTCTATGTGCTGCCTCATGTCTGGGCTTCTGTCTACATGCTGGTGTGATGACTGCTCCTGTAGTTTGTTCTGGCAGTGCTGGTCTTGTCCCTCATTCTGCCGAAGAGCAGCCGATACATCAAGTGGGTCGTCTCTGCAGGGCTCGCGCAGGTCAGCGAGTTTTCTTTTGTCCTGGGGAGCCGAGCGCGGAGAGCTGGCATCATCTCTCGGGAGGTGAGTGCCCTTGCACTTTCTGTGTCCAGAGCACAACACAGATACAGTCCTGCAGAGGACAGCATAGGACCACAGTGCCATGTCCCTGGTAAAGTTTCACAACCCTTGCTCTGGGTTGCAGTTAGTTATCTAGGCACAGAAGGTCCAAGAGTCAGGGGTGGCAGCTTTCTCAGGCTCCCAGTCAGCACAGAGCCTGGCCTGAGATTGAGTGTCTATCTCACGGAGGGCACATAGTGTGGCTTTGCTGCTCTCTTCTCACACGGGATGGGGAATTCTGTAGATGAAAGTTACCAGTTAATAGCCTGGGCAACCCAGTGAGATCTTGTCTCTACCAAAAACAGAAAATTGAGCTGGGCATAATGATGCAGTCCCAGCAACCAAGGAGGCTGGGGCAAGAGAATCCTTGAGCCCAGAAGTCCTGGGCTGCAGTGAGCTGTGTGTGATGACACCAGTGCATTCTAGCCTGGGTGACAGAACAAGACCCTGTTTTAAAAAAAGAAGAAGAAGAAAAAGAAAGTTGGCCAGGCACAGTGACTCGTGCCTTGTAATCCTAGTACTCTGGGAGGCTGAGGCTGGTGGATAGCTTGAGCTCACGAGTTTGAGACCAGCCTAAACAAAAGCGAGACCCTATCTCTACTAAACAGAAAAACTGAGGCAAAAGGATCATTTGAGCCCAAGAGCTGGAGGTTGCTATGAGCTGTGATACCACAGCACTCTACCCAAGGTGACAGCTTGAGACTGTCTCAGAAAAAAAGAAAGAAAGTTACCCATTAATACTGCTTCAACTGTTACTATTATCTTTTACAACAATTATATTAAGCCACTCTGATATCAACTCTGGAAAAAAAAAACTAATTTTTTAAAGATAAACTGCTGGCTCAGCACTTGTAGCTCAGTGGTAAGGGTGCCGGCCACACATACACTGGTGCTGGTGGGTTCAAACCCAGCCAGGGCCTGCTAAATCACAATGACAATTACAACAAAAAAATAGCCAGGTGGGCACCTGTAGTCCCAGCTACTTGGAGGCTGAGGTAAGGGAATGGCTTAAGCCTGAGAATTTGAGGTTGCTGTGAGCTGTGCCACGGCACCTGACTGAGGGGACATAGTGAGACTGTCTCAAAAAAAAAGATAAACTGCTAACTTATTTAATATGTTAATAACATCTAAGAAACATGAAACATAAATGTGGGCTGAGTGCTTTATAAAAGTTCCTGTTAACACACTGTGAAGTCCACAAGGCGGTGAGATGGGTGTCTCCCTGTATCTTGTGTGTGAAAAAGACACGAGCCATTTTAGTGGTGAGTGATGCAGATGTGATTGCTAAAGAGAAGGGTGAGGTAAAAGATGCTCCATCTGAGACTGACCATGGCTGTGCCCTTCCTATAATGTGTTCTGTGCAGGTCAGTCTGTTTGTAGTGGGACTCCCTAGTGGCCCTTGGGCAAACACAAGACTCCAGGATGATACCTGTAATACATCAGACTGGCCACACCATGTAATGACTGTCAGATCTCAGTCCATCCCGCATCCAAAGGTCATCTCACCTCTGGCTGAACTTTGATGTGTCCTAAATACAGCACTGAACTTGTGGTTTACAGGGATACCTCCTAGTGTTCACTGTGCAGGTGCAGCTGCTGGTGTTCACTGTGAGCATGCTTAGCCTTGGACCTGTGTGGGTACACCTGCTGATATTTTGTGTGACCTCTCTGCATTTCCCTATTGCAGGTTTACCTCCTTATACTAAGTGTGACCACACTCAGCCTCTTACTTGCCCCAGTGCTGTGGAGAGCTGCAATTATGAAATGTGTGCCAAGACCAGACAGACGGTCCAGTCTTTGATGGCACAGAGGTGACAGTGGACCTTGGGAAGGGCAACTTGGTGAGAAGTGAGCTTTTCCAGTTACACAGTCCGTGGAGCCTTATTCCTTAGGAACAGAAAAACACTCTAGCAAAGACATGGTGTTTCCTGGCTTATCAGAATATTCCTGTCATATTGTAAATTTTTTCAGAGTAATTTATTTCCAGTCAATTCATTATTCATAGTAGAACTGTAACACTGCATTTTACAAATCGCCTTGACTATTTTGCCTGGATGTGCCTTTTTTTCTGAAATTATTATTGACTTTCTGTTGTTAATTCATTGGTTCATGTTTTTTTTTCTGGTGAAGAGAAAAAAATTTTAAATTTATTGTACATCTTTAAAATCTGTTCAATATTCAATAACAATAACAATATTCGACCTGTTGGTTGAATATTTGTTATTAAACATTGCTGTGAGATGGAATTTTAATTATGGCTTTGAGTTTGGAAGCTTATTTAAAGCCTATGTTTTCTAAAATGAGATGAATATAGATGTTTATTTGCCTTTTATTTTGACTATTTTAAATAAAATACATTCCTGTCAATTTCTATTAGGTATATTACTCTTAAATACTTGGCTTTCAATCACAAGAATATGCATTCTTTGGTAAAAGTAATTGATGAAGTTTATCGAAAAGTTGTATTAAGTTTTGTGTTCAGTTAATCTTTGCATTAAATCTCAGCCAGTTTTTTTTTTATTGTTTGGGATTCATTGAGAGTACAAAGAATTAGGTTATACTGATTGCATTTGTTAGATAAAATCTCTCTTATGTCTTACCCCCCCCAATGTATCATTGTTTGATACATTTGTTAGCCATACATCATACATCACCCCATCCTCCTCCCCCACCCCACTCCCTCATTCCCCTATACCACCCCTTGTATTAGTTCATCTACAGCCTTCATACTAGAATTGAGTACATTGGATTCTTGCTTCTCCATTCTTGTGATGCTTGGAAGTGAATGTGTTACACTAACATCTAGGTTAATACAAAAGATGTAAAATCTCCATCATTTTTTAGTGGCTGAAAAGTATTGCATGGTGTACATATACCACAGCTTGTTAATCCGTTCCTGGGTTGGTGGGCATTTAGGTTGTTTTCACATGTTGCTGATTGTAGATTGAGCTGTGATAAACAATCTGGTGCAAATGTCCTTATGGTAAAAGGGTTTTTTTCCTTCTGGGTAGATGTAGATGCCTAGGATTGGGATTGCAGGATCAAATGGAAGGTTGAATTTGAGTACTTTGAAGATTCTCCATACTTCCTTCCAAAAAGGTTATATTAGTTTGCAGTCCCACTAGCAGTATAAAAGTGTTCCCTTCTCCATATCCACACCATCATCTGCACTTTGTGACTTTATGATGTGGGTTATTCTCACTGGGGTTAGGTGATATCTCAGGATAGTTTTGATTTGCATTTCTCTGATGAATAGAGACTAGCATTTTTTGATACATTTGTTAGCCATTCTTCTTTTTTTTTTTTTTCTGTAGAGACAGTCTCACTTTATCATCCTCTGTAGAGTTGGTAGAGTGCCATGGCTAGAGTAGCCATGGTAGAGTCAGTCACACAGCTCACAGCAACCTCTAATTCCCGGGCTTAGATGATTCTCTTGCTTCAGCCTCCCAAGTAGCTCGGACTACAGGCACCCAGCACAATGCCTGGCTATATTTTTAGAGGCGAGGTCTCACTCTGGCTTAGGTTGGTCTCAAACTCATGAGCTCAGGCAATCCATCTGCCTCGACCTCCCAGAGTGCTGGGATTATAGACGTGAGCCACAGCATCCAGTTTTTGCTATTTCTTTTCTTAGAGTTTTGTAATTTTCTTTGTAGAGGTCCTTCACCTCTTTTGTTAGGTACGTCCTTAGGTATTTCATTTTTTTGAAGCTACTATGCAGGAAATTATGTCTTTGCTTAGCTTCTCATCTTGGCTGTTATTGTCATATACAAAAGCTACTAATTTGTGGACATTGATTTTATATCCTAAGACATTAGTATATTATTTGGTCACTTCCAGGAGTCTTGTGGTTGAGTCTTTGGGATTCTCTAAATATAGGATCATATTGTCAGCTAAGAGCAAGAGTTTTACTTCCTCTGCCCCCCTTTGGAAACCTTTATTTCCTTCTCTTGCCTGATTATATAGCCAATTTTTTTTTATTAAGATTATTTCTATGTTACTATACTATTCTCCAGGACACCAGATTAATACATTACCATTTGAAAAGCTTAAGGTCTCTAACTTTTGGCATTTAAAAAGTGAATCTTGGCTATAATGTGCCCCATTTTATATAGAAAACTGCACAGATAAAGATGTGGTCCTAAGGGGATTTTTCTAGGGATGCAGCCTTAGTGCACTGTGTGCTGCTAGAAAAGAACACTTGACACTGAGTGACTCATAAAGAGCCAAAATTTATTCTCACAGTTCTGGAGTCGGTGAAGTCCAACACCAGGGCACAGGCAGGTTAGAGCCCGGTCTCTGCTTGTAAGAGGGTGCCTGAAATGCTGCATCATCAGGGATAGCCTTGGTGGTCCCTGTGTGGTGAGGGCAGACAGTGAACTCCTGCACTGCCCTTCGTGGGGTAGTGGAGAGCCCTTCCTGAGGCTGGACACCCGCCAGGCCACACCTCCCAACACTCACCCTGGGGATTAAGTTCTGACATGAGTCTACAAAGTGACAAAAACAGTCAAACCACAGCAGGTACATTGTTATTGAACTTAAGTTATTTAGCAGGTACTTTAAAGTATGGGCTTTAAGAGCCCAACAATTTGACCAAAATATTGAGCTAGAGGGACAAAAATGCCAGGTATTGCACGTATAAGTTGTGGAGTACATTAACATAAGTTAAAACCCTTTGAAGTAAATTGTTCCTAGTCCCAAGCAGATTAATGGAGAATCAATGTAAATGTGCTTATTTTTAGAAGATAGATAACACCGGGCTTACTCATTTCTAAATGATAACAGATTGCCCAGCACCCGTTTCTCCTCCTCTTTGTTGGGTGTGTCCAGTGTGGCTGGTGCAAGTGAGTGTGGCCTAAGCTCGGCCTGTCTGATGTGATGTGGCCTTCACACCTGGATGCTGCCTGTGGACCATGCACACATCTTCACGCTGTCAAGGCGTCAGGACTCAGTGCAGCTGGGGACCTCCAGGCCCTGGGACCACCAGGAGCTTTTCAGTTCGGTTGAGCTGAATGACACCTCTTTGATGAAAGTGTGATAGCAAGTTCCCCCCAGAACATGAAATTAGTATTGCTTTGTGAGATAAGTAATCAGTAAAGAATAAGGCCTCGTGAGTTCTCTGCCTACTGAGAATTCAAGCAGCTCTCAGGGTGACTCAGTGCTGTCCTTCTCTTCCATGCCTGGGGTGGACGCCCCTCCATCCCCAGGACTTGACTCTGTGAACCTGTCACACCTCATGTCTTTGCTGCCACCTCTGCCACTGTCCTCTTCTCTGTTTTCTTTTCCAGTCACTACCAGACTGAGCCAACAGAACCCTCTTCTGGCCTCATCTCCTGGTTCCTTTCACCAACTTCCAGAGGGATGCAGGCCTCTCCTCCCCTCTATCCATCCCCTGAGCCTGTCCTGTAGGGTCATAGACCCATCAGCCTCCCCTGATGAGCTCCAGTGGCCATACCAGTCCCCAGTGGCCATATCACCTGTTTCTTGAGTGCAGAGTGTGCTGTGTGTCCCCAGAGAGTAACCAGGAAGCCTGGATCTGGAAGAGTCCTAAACAGTGGTCATAATATTTTCATCCTAAATGTTAAAATTGGTGTTTGATAGAGTGAGTTCCAACCAGGTCTACACCTGAGACCACACTGATGGGGCTAAGCTCCTGAAGCTAGACATTTGAAGACAGACCAGGGTGGGGCATGTTGGCGCCAAACAGTAGCACCTGTGCCAAGGCAAGTCCTACAGCTCCAGCTTCAGCGCCAGCAAGACCCCCCCATAATTGCCCCACCCCTGTCCACTGCTGTGCTAACTTTTTACCTTAAAACGGTGATCTTCAATCAGCTGTTCTGTCTGTGCTCATAGGACAGTTTTATTTCTTATTTTTGTGCTTCTGTTCTTATGTCCTTGTGACCTGCTACCAGAAGCCTCTGCATGGCTCCCAGAGCGCAGCCGACAAGCCTCCCATTCACTAGCTCTTGACAGCCCAGCTCTACAATGACAGGATCTGAGAAAGTGGGAGCCAGCCGACAACATTCACACTTCCACATGGCAGGACAGGAGGACAGAGGCACAGGGTAGATAAGGTAGACAAAATAAAATACATTCAAGAGAGAGATGGAAGAGAGTGAAATCTAGGAAGTTGTCAACCTAAGTAAATGAGGGAAAAAAATCTCAATTGATTGAGGTTTATTAAACCAAGAGTTTGAGGATGTGCCTGGGAAAAACTCACATGACCTGCAGACAAGCTGTGGCTATTTTTCTGAAGAGTGCATTGGAACTTTCAGCATTTTAAAGGCAGTAGAGAAGGAAAGAGGCAAAGGTAGGAGGGAGGCTGATGAGTATTGGTCACATTCTTATGAGGCCCAAGATCTCTACATTTTACATAAAATAAGGGGGTGAAAGAAGCATCTGTCATGTGGATGCCTTTGATAGGTGAAAGAATGTGTGATTCTGTCCCCAGTCTTGTTACCTAGAGATGAACTTAGGATTCATCAGTAATGTGGAATGAACTTTAGTGTCAAATGCCAGACACAGGTACGACGTACATGTCCTTGCTTGTAGGAGATCCACATGGAGTCTCCCTACTGAATGACCTGTGGGGCTGAGCTTCTAAGCAGCTCTTCTTTCTTATCAGGACATCAAAGGGGCACAAGTGCACACTCAGGGAGGAAGTGATGGGAAAGAGAAATCAGAATGTGAGCAAACAGGTGCTGAGCAGGTATGTGTGGCCTCACGGGCACATAGTGAGTCTGGCTGTGGAACTGCTGCTAATACTGCAGAGGAACACGGACTCTAGGGCAGCCATGGTTTTTGTCTGAAGAAGGCAGAAATCTGGACTTCTGTTAAAGTCTTGTGGTTTGAAATGTTGGCAATATTCTTTGCTTTTTTCTTTTTAATCCTGTGCAGGGTATACCATCAGTGTGCAACTTTTATACTAAAAGTTGTTGTCTAGATTTTTAAGACTAAGACTTTTTTTTTTATTTTGACACAGTTTCACTTTGTCGTCCTCGGTAGAGTGCTGTGGTGTCATAGCTCACAGCAACCTCCAACTCATGGGCTTAAGTGATTCTCTTGCCTCAGCCTCCCGAGTAGCTGGGATTACAGATAGCCACCCTAACACCTGGCTATTTTTAGAGACAGGGTCTTGCTCTTGCTCAGGCT